GATTTTATAAATTATTGGCAATTGCTTTTGAGTAAAAATAAATACCCCAAAAGATATTTTTATTGCTTACTTCAGACGATTTTTGTTGCATAGTACGTAGTGTCCCATCACTTAAGTGAGCCATTTTCTGCTCCGTTCTAAACAATTGTATTTTTATTAAATTAATATTTTAATATTTTGAGAAAATGTATGTTATGTAATAATTGTTACTAAATTTAAGTATGAAAAACACACCCACAAAAAATTTTACATTTTTTTAAATTTATTTTATTGCAGTTTCCAGCCCTGAACTGTTTGAAATCCACTTCCTTAAGCGAAATCCACCCCTTTTCATCATTTCATTCAACTGCTGAACTAGAACATTCGCTTCCTCTTCACTTTGTGCCCCTGAAAGCAAATCATCAACATAAAAATCACGAAGGGCAATTTTTGATGCTAAAGGAAATCTCACTTGTTCATCTAATGCAAGTTGTTTCATTACTCTAGTAGACAAATATGGCGCACAGGCAGTCCCATATGTAACTGTCACTAATCTAAATGTACTCAAGGGCTCACTAGGACTATCCCTCCAAAGCATTCGTTGCCAATTTGTATCTTCTGGGTGGACACGAATTTGTCTGAACATCTTCTCTACATCGGCACATACTGCAATTTTTTTTTTTGTAAGTTCTAAACCGTAGAAGAATTGGAAACAGCTCTTGCTGAACTCTTGGCCCAACCATCAAAATATCATTCAATGAAAGACCCGATGTCGTTTTAGCTGAAGCATCGAAAACAACTCTCAGTTTAGTCGTAGTACTTGATTCCTTTAATACGGCATGATGAGGCATGTAATACGTAGAGTCAATAAGAATCTCTCCCTCAGGCACTCCCTCCATATGTCTCAGCTCAAGGTATTCCCTCATGAAATCCTTATACTGTTCATATATCTGAGGCCTTTTTAGAAGTGAATTTTCTAAAGATTGGAATCTACGCATAGCTAATTGTCTGGAATCTCCAAGCTGAGAAGGCGGAGAGTGAAACGGTAATTTCACAGTATATACCCCACTTTCCTCTCTCGTATATGTAGATTTGAAATAATCTTCACATGCTCTCTCCGATTTAGTAAGCATGTCAAACGTAGGTACAGCATCCAATTTCCAAAAGTCAGACAGCATCTGATCAGTTTCCACTTGTATATTATTAACATAGATAGTAGGATTAATTTCTGTTGAATTATTCACACTACCTGAAATAATCCATCCTAGTTCAGAACGAGAAGCTACCGGTTTACCTTCTTCGCATTTAATTATTTCCCCCTTTAAAAGAGGTAAGGCAATATAAAAAAGAGGTAAGGTCTTTAAAAGAGGTAAGGCCTAAAAGTATATCAACAGGCCCACTTTTGTAAAATGTTGGATCTGCTAACATTACATCATTATATTCCTCAACGTACTTCTTATCCAATGTAAAATGCGGCAAAGTTCCAATAATTCTATTGATGATAAATACTGGTGTTTTAAATGACACTTTCGCCGGAAAATGCGGAACGAAGTTTATTTCCGTAATTCCATTAGTTTTCGTATCCAAAGACCCTAAACATGAAATAAAAACTTTGGCATTTCTTCTTGCTAACCCTAGCCTTTGTACACAATCTTCTGAAATCAGGCTTGCTTGACTGCCAGGGTCAAGGAGGGCTCTACACAATTGGTATTCACCCGATGAATCTAACACTTTAATAACAGCCGTACATAATAAAACTTCACTCTGAAAATTAAAGTCTGAAACACAAGATTTAATTACTGGACTAGAACTTGCGATATTCTCCCCTGACCCAGCCGATTGAGCGCGAGGTTCTGGCCCAGGGAAAAATGGCTTAGCCGTCACTGATAATTCATTCGAACTGTTCGTAACTCCTTTACGTGCCTTTGGTTCATTTTGAACTCTTTCGAAATGCAGTAGTGTGTGATGATTTTTAAAGCACTTTTTACATTTATGTGTACTTCTACACTCGAAAGCTTTATGGATTTGAAACCAAACAATTAAAACAAACATTATTTCTCTTGACAAAATTAACGCGTTCCTGAACATTCAGATTTAAAAACTTATTACATTTAAAAACTGAATGACCGGCTTTACAATACGTACACTGCGCGCGAATCTCTGAAGCCAATGAAGTTAATTTGTCTTTTGTAACTTGTTTTTTAACACCTTGCGTTTTACCTGCTTGCAAGGTTCTGGCATGAGATTTCAAGAACTCTAGCAGATTATTAAGTGTTGGTATTTCCTCACTCTTTAATGTTCTTTCCCACCATCCTCTCGTCGAAGAATCCAATTTAAACTGTACTATTAACATTAAAATAGTATCCGCGAATTGCTCCACTTTGAATCCTAGATTTTCAAACGAACATACACACTCTCTTACAGTGTCTACTAACGCTAATATCTGACTAGGAATTTCAGCTTGTAAATTTGATAAATACAAGATTTTCTTTAATAACGATGAAAGTAATTCTCTCTTATGTGAAAATCTTTGACACAATAAATGCCACGCTATTTCGAAATTCCTGTCACAAATAGTTAAAGCTTGAACAATCCGCAAGCATACGCAATCATGTCCTAAATTAAGGATAATTTGGAGTCACGCGGAAATCAACTCTAAAATAATATATCACCTGTAAAATCACTACACACATCTTCAGAATCATATGCAAATTTCAGGAAGTAACCAGATGACACGATGGTACGTCACAATGACGAGAGTGTAAGAGAGTGATATATAAGGAATACAGGCAAAGAAGTAAAATTGTTCGCAGGCGCTTTATAAGCATTTCAGTGCAATAACCGAATAGTTATGACACAAAGGACGCATTTGGATGATTTTTTACGTGGTAGAATCATCGGCCGTCTGGAATGTGGGACGTACTCAACTGGAAGTATCAGACGAACTTGGAATTGCCCAGTGTGTCATCTCCAGGCTTTGGCAACGATTCCAAGATGATGGTAATGTGAGTAGACGTTAGAGCACAGGTCGCCTCAGAGCTACAACGCCGAATGAGGACTGGTATTTGGCAGTTACTTCCAAAAGAAACAAGCGGAGCACAGCCTCAGACCTGTCTCGTCAGCTCTCTTCAGCCACTGGTACGACAATTTCAAGGCAGACCGTGTACAGACACTTAGGACAGATTGGTCTATATGCTCGTAGACCTGTCAGATGCGTTCCACTTACTGCAACTCACTGTCGCCTGCGGTTAGCCTGGAGTAGAGAGCATGCATTGTGGACACCGCAACAGTGAGCTTGCGTGATGTTTTCCGACAAGTCCAGGTTTAGCTTGCAGTCTGATTCTAGCCGGACTTTCATATGGAGAGCTCCAGGTACCCGTTACCACAAAAAAAAAAAAAAAAAAAAAACATCATTGAACGACACCGTTACGGTGGTGCAGGAGTGCTCGTTTGGGGTGGAATTATTCTGGGTTCCAGAACTGACCTGCATGTTCAAATTGGAACCATGACAAGCCAAATCTATCGGGACGTCATTCTGGAACAACATGTACGTTTGTTTCGGGCGCCATGGGCGCACAATTTGTGTTTATGGATGACAACGCCCGTCCTCACCGTGCAAACATCGTAAGCGAATGCCTTCAATCGGAGGATATCACCCGTATGGACTGGCCAGCATTCTCACCGGACTTGAATCCAGTAGAGCACGTGTGGGACATGCTTGGCCGACGAGTTGCAGCCCGTCAACCTCCTCCTACATGTCTACCGGAACTTCGGAGAGCATTGCTTTTTGAGTGGTGTAATATCCCCCAAGATCAGATCGATAATTTGATACTCAGCATGCCTAGGCGTTGTACGGACTGTATTGCATCGTCTGGGAGACATACAATGTATTAACAATCATACCAACCATGTAATATTGGTTTTTTTGTAAATAGGTTTTTTTTTTTTTTTTTTTTTTTTTTGTAATTTGCTCCAGGGAGAAAAAATCGCTAATTTTTTTAATAAAATATCAACATATAGCATCTTTTTTGCTCTTTACCTTTTGTTTAATAAATAAGCTTTACAAATAAGTCAAATTTGTTTTGCTTTTAACTCTTCCTTTGCCTGATTTTGCATTATCCTTAATTTATGGACATGAGTGCATATTGATACTGAGAGCGATCTGATATATATATATATAATAATTATTTCCTAAACAATATTGAATAATTGATTATATTAATCGCCTAAGTTTAATCAAAGTAGAATATATATATATATATATATATATACTAATTTTAAATGTTAAAGTGACGTTTTTCTCATAGTTTATGTAAAGTGCTTTTTAACGTGTCATTTCGAAAAACTCGTTTATTTAGTTCCAGGTTTTCTATCTCTGCTGCATTATTTTCATGAAGCGTTATTTCTTGATAAACGTTTTGCACCTTTATATTTTCATCTTTCTTTGTTATCCAAAAAGACTCATTTTCATTCTGTAACAATAAATTACCTCAGTTATTGATCAATAAACTTATCCCATACTAAAAATAGCTCAGCGAGTGAGCCGATATTCTTTTTTAGCCGAACTCCAGGCTATGCATATTTATCATGACACTGATTAAATTCTTCAGGGGTAATATTTGGATTAATTAATAATTTTTTGATAAAAATGAAAATGTCCAGTTTCTTCTATGTTATGAAATTTATGTGTTGGTCTGTCATTATGTATTTGGCATTTAATGAAATAAAATCTTTAATAAATATAAAACTTATTATATTAGCTTGTATCTAAGGAATAAAGCAACTGGCTTGTTTGTATTATTTATTATAAAAGCTACATCGAACTAGCGTTTAAAACAAGTATATTAAGTTATACGTTACTGTTGAATAATATAATAAAATTTCTGTACTTGAAATGTATTAATTATTTTTATTGTATTAATTAATATATTAATTATTTTTATCACGGTCTATTTTTAAGTGTATTGGTCCAGTAATTATAGGTTCTGACACAATAAAATGAAATAAAGCTTTTGAAAATATGCACACAAATACGATTTATTCAATTTGAAAGAACGATACAACAAATATTTAAAATTATTCGTACCCGAAAATCATCTGGACGGTTTGTTTAACGTCTAAAATCACACATAGTAATAGCATTTTATCTTCTATTTTTTCAATCAGGATGAATATATTATGGTCCGTTTTCAAATGCTCAGCTGCTAAAATGTTTCATCACTCTGCAGGCATTTTAATACATTTGATAATTATCTTCACTTTGACGAAGTAATTTGGTAATAGTTTCTTCCACTGTATGCATGCCTGATTACTCGAATCATGCATTATACATAATCTTTGTTTGAAAATTGTAATTTCTTCTCAAACTACGTCCCCAAGAATGGATGGAATTAATGTAAGTTTAATTTATATTAAGCATGAAAACTGAATTAAAGTATATTGGATGAGATCATTTCTTGTGCACATATCGCATAATTTGATTGAATAGTGGAGCAGTCTTTTTATTGCAAATATATTTAATTATTCTACTAAACGGGAGAAAAAATGCCTTTTTTGAAATATCGTAAAGATGCATTTAAAAGCGCACAAGAACTTATTTCAATTGTAACAGCAAAGCAATAAGTTAAGAAAACAAGTAAAATATGATATATATGCTTCTTTAATAGCTACGTATCCATACATTTCAATCAGTATGTTTAGAATACCTCAGAAATTATAACTTGCATTGAAACTAACGCATTTTTATGCGCAGCATGTCTAATTTAGGGATTTCACAACTGATTCCCTCCGACTAGAGAAATACTTCAGTTGCATTCATCACAATCCATCCAACATTGCAAAAGCATTTTTTGAGCTCGCTGTGAAGCATCTTACATCGTCATATTCAAGTTCTTTTCATTTTAAATGATTATGCGAAATTTTGCGTTATTCCGCGTTATATGTTGTCCTTCATAGAAGGACAATAGCATGAACTTCATTAGATATGCAACATTTAATTTTTCTGTAGACTGTCAAATGAAAAATAACATTGACACTTGGTTAAAAGAACAGTAAAGCAGGCATATCAAAATTAGATAATAAGGTTCGTTTTAGTAGTGTTCTTTTAATCTCTTTCCAACGTGGAATTCATGAATGTAAGTCAAAACCTTACGCACCATAATTTAGCAACATGTCTCTTAATTTGAATTAATTTTTACACTGAAATTACTTCGGGAAGCATGGCATCATTGAACTTGCAACTGCTCGTGTCACTGCGTTGCTTGCCCTTGATAATACGGCTGCAGAGAAGGGTAACTCGTAGGGGATGGATACACTGCTCTGGGAAGAACCGGTCTCCCGACAGAGGTCGTGACAGGAGGTGTTTGTCTTTGGTAAATGTCCAAGGCTGGCATGGTTTGAGATGATGTAGGAGCTCCAATATGGGGTCCAGCAAGCCCTGATAATGAAGAAATAGTTGACAAATAGCTACTATAGCTGTAAGGCCAGTATGGAGAAGGTGCCGGTCCCCAAAGTCGTGGAAATCGAGCTAACGTTGCACTATCTGGAGGGAATACTTCGAAACCTATCATGGCCTGCCGCTTCCACTTCGTTCTACAGAAAAGAATGAAGCAAAATATTTTTTATAAAAAATTGAATGTTGATTATATTCTACACTTTGTTAAAGATATCTATCAATGTTATGAAGAGTACATCGAATATTTTATAGCATTTAATAAGAAACACCTTAATGTATTAAAAATTTGCATAGTCTAATATATAAACATATATATATGATTTAATTTTACGGTGCCGACGACGATGTTTGAACATTTTTTTTTTTTTTTTTTTTTTTTTTTTTTTTAATAGCAAGCGGTCATGCTCACATGATAAAATATTTTATTTCAGGCATATTCGTAATTTAAACCGGTAACGTGCAATTGAAACGCCGGCACCTTCTTTAAAACCCGTTTATACTAACGAAACTTTGAGCACGAGACAAGCGCTTGAACTTGACGCCTTTTTAATGGAATTAGTTCCCGTGCTAAAAATAAATGTTTCATTCTTTTAATTTTAAAGTATTATCACACGGGATGTTTGTTTTATGGAATATATGCCTAAATATTGTATTTTATCTCGAAAACAGTGAATGCCTTTTTCTTCCATGGTGAAAACGTCAAGTTCGCGCTTTTTTCTTGGACTTCAAGTTTCGCTAGTGTAAATGAACCTTTAAATTATTTTTATAATTGTCAGATTATGCGTTCCGTAGGTAAGAGCAGGCGCTAGAAAAAAGAAGATTAAGTTATTGGGCTAAATTTATGAAACGTACTTTTCTAAATCGATGATCTGATATTATTCTTGATCACTAAAGTTTCGGTGCAAGTACTATTGGATAAATAATTTTTCACTTTTTGCTGTTATGTAATTACATGTGTGTAACTTGCATTATTTAAGAATCATAATAGCCCTTGATAATGGAATGATACATTTCGCGAAGATTAATCAATCGGATTGAAGAAATTTTTAATTCAAATACCACTGCAGCGCAGTACCTTTCTATTTCTTTTTCAGCCCGCTTTGCTTTCGTTGTGCGACTTAGCCACGTTATTCCACCTCAAGAAAAACATAGAGGTAGAAGATCAAAACCTGTGCCCCCTTGATTTTGAACAGCCACGAAATCCTTACCTAAGACACCCTGCAGTACACGCAAAACTCAGAATATCTATAAAAGAAGAACACCCTCAGTGCACCTACATTTTCAGTCGTGTACACAGATGGGTCAAAGATAAACGAAGAAGTAGGATGAGCGTTCTTAGCACTTGTCTCAGAACAAGAAACAACAGGAATGGAGGGAAAGGACACCTAAGAAACAACAACAGCGTTTTCTAAGCTGAGCTTTCAGCCATAAAACACACTATTCTATGGTCTCATCAAAAGCATCTAACATATGTTACTATCTACAGTGATAGCCAAGCGGCAATTAAAGCTGTCGATGATGCAAGAAACAAATCATCAATAGTGCAAGATATCTACGATTTATTATCACAGCGCAAGAGAACATCTACAGTGGGTACAAAAAGTATTTGCACACATACATTTTTGTTCACAATTTATAAGAAAATGCATTAATAAATACAAAAATTGGCATTTAAAAATAGAATAAGCCTATTCATTTAAATTAATTACAAAAAATACAATAATATTAATAAAAACATTTTTGCAACAATATTAAAATAGCTTATGTCAAAAAAAGTATTTGCACACTCAACAAATCACTCTAGCAAATTTGCATTTTATGCTATTATTTGACAGTCATCATCCCGCAGTAAATAATAATATGTAAGACGACTATAAAGGAGGTGTTGTCGAAACATTATCAGTTGATTGCCGATTCAAAATTGTAATGGCACCTAAGAAATCTGAATTGGTCGATTCAATTGCGAGAAAAATTTTTTCTCTACGTGAAATGGCCTAAGTTATCAAGAAATAGGTAAAAAAGTAAATGTTTGCTCTATACTATTTGGTATGTTTATAAAGAAAGAGGATCTACATCAAATAACTTGCGCTCGGGACGCCCAAAGAAACTTTCACTGCGAATGAAGCGAAAATCATAAGAGAAGCATAAAAAAATCCATTTGTTAGTGCAATTACTTTAGCCAATGATGTCGCTTCAACATCTGGAGTTCAAATCTGTGCCCAAAGTGTTCGAAATGTGCTGCACGATGCACACATTTATGGGAGATCACCAAGGAAAACACTTCTCCTAACTGAACGAAACAGACTGAAGAGACTTGAATTCGCTAAGGAATATATCAATAAGCCAATCGATTTCTGGAAAAATGTCATATTCTCCGACGAGAGTGAGTTCAATATCTTTAAATCAGATGGCAGAAATTAGTTTGGAGAAAACCTTGTGCTGCTTTTCATACCAAAAATGTGTTACCTACAGTTAAACATGGAGGAGGTTCTGTTATGATTCGGGGGTGGCATGGCTAGCAAAGGAATTGGTAATTTTGTGTTTCATTGATGGGAATATGACAGCTCGAACCTATATTGATGTTTTGCGAGATAACTTGCCACAAAGTGCAATAAAATTGGTGTATCTGTAATTCGTACTATTTTCAGCAAGACAATAATCCCAAGCACACCGCCGGTATAACACGTATGTGGTTGCTTTATAATGTAACCAGAAAACTTGCCACTCCACCCCAATCACCAGACTTAAATCCTTTGGACAATTTGTGGAATTCTTTCTTTGAATTTAAAAATAAGTAAAAAGGAAGATTTCAAGCAAATCTACCCTTAAACAAGCCCTTATTGAAGAGTGGTCGAATATTGACTGAGCCTACTGTTACAGAAAATTTAATTAAATTCAATGCCAGCAAGATTACAAGCAGTAATAGATGCTAAAGGCATGCATACTAAATATTAGTTATTTGAAATTTGCTTATATATTTTATTTCTTTTGTATTCATGCAGGTGTGCAAATACTTTTTTGATTTTTTGATTTTGAGATATTTTAATTTTGTTACAAAAAAGCATTGTTAATCAAAACCGTGAAAAACAACCTTATATTTAGCGTAGTCTATAATAAAACACTCAATCGATTTCGAGGGCAGCTAAAGGTCCCTCCTCATCAGGAGAAAGAAATACATAGAGAAGAAGAAAATAGGAATCACAGAAACACGTGGTGCTTATCAGCACTGCACGTCGTTATAACTAGATTTTTAAATCAGAGTTGCACTGGCCGCGCTACTTTTATGAGCCAGGCTGTCTGATCAAGCATAAAGAAATATTAGCGAAGTTAAAATAGGGAGCGAGGGGCAATGCACATTACGCTCAAAATCTGAACTTTCAAATAATGAAAGCAACCACTGAACGGATTTTTATACCTCTGGTAGTACCAAGTGCGAGGAGGTAACGCCATCTATCGGCAAAAATAATTGAATTAAGACAGTAGAATTTTAAAGGCATTAGGAAGGACTGGATTGGACTTCAATCATTAACTAAACTTTCTAAATCTTGTGAATGTGAAAGCCTCAAGAAAATCCAATTCGCCTATGGAAGAAGCCTTTGGATGATTTTTTGCAGACCCAAAATCAAAATTATGGTTAAAGTCCAGCTATGATACGCTATTGAAGACTTGTTAATTTCCCCTTTTTTGACATAAGATTCATGTTCCTTGATACGAAACTTCAACGCTCTTTTTGTTTGGCCAATATATCTTAAACCACACTGACATGATATACTATAAATTCCCCAAGAATTCAAGACAGAACGCAATCTTTTAGAATCGAAGGGTGAATTTTATTAATAGGGGAGAAACCGACTTGAAAATTGAATTTCTGGAGAATCCGTGCAATTTTATAGCTAACAGAAGGATAAAATGGAAGCACGACAAGGTCATTGATATTATTTCTAACAGTGGAATGTCTTCTTTGATGGGAATCTGAAAATTTTTTGACGGCTTTATCAATAATCACGGGAGAAAATCCACGGTCAATCGCAACTGCTCTCAAATAATTAAGTTCATTGGTAAGCAAAGATTCAGAGGAACAAACTTTTAGCGCGCGGAAAACATAATAGTAAAAAGAAGCCATTTTTTGCTTAACAGGGTGGCATGAATCCGGTCGAAGCCTCCGGTCGAAGGAGCACTAAATTGTCTTGAAACTAGGCTTCGGGAATTTCACTTCACACATACTGAAATTAATGAGTTGGTTTCGCTTACTAAAGTTTCTCTAAGTCAAACCCACTTTGTTTTCCAAAATGCATATTTTCGTCAAGTTGAAGGATTGGCTATGGGTAATCCTCTCAGTCCGGTACTTGCTGACATTTATAATGCACTATTTTGAGATGAAATTATTTGATAAATTATCTTTTCGTCTTTGGATTCGGTATGTTGACGACACTTTCGCACTTTTTGACGGTTATAAAGAAAATTTATCCGAGATTCTATCTATTATGAATTCAATTGATCCAGCCATCCAATTCACTCTTGAAATTGAATCCAACAATTCCCTCCCCTTCCTCGATATTCTATAATCCGCAATGAAACCGATTTTAGCACCACTGTGTACCGTAAACCCTTTGCAGTTTGTTACCACCCCATGCCATGTCATGCCACCCTCTGTTAAGCAAAAAATGGCTCTTTTTTACTATTATGTTTTCCGCGCGCTAAAAGTTTGTTCCTCTGAATCTTTGCTTACCAATGAACTTAATTATTTGAGAGCAGTTGCGATTGACCGTGGATTTTCTCCCGTGATTATTGATAAAGCCGTCAAAAAATTTTCAGATTCCCATCAAGAAGAAGACATTCCACTGTTAGAAATAATATCAATGACCTTGTCGTGCTTCCATTTTATCCTTCTGTTAGCTATAAAATTGCACGGATTCTCAGAAATTCAATTTTCAAGTCGGTTTCTCCCCTATTAATAAAATTCACCCTTCGATTCTAAAAAGATTGCGTTTCTGTCTTGAATTCTTGGGGAATTATAGTATATCATGTCAGTGTGGTTTAAGATATATTGGCCAACAAAAAGAGCGTGAAGTTTCGTATCAAGGAACATGAATCTTATGTCAAAAAAGGGGAAATTAACAAGTCTTCAATAGCGTATCATAGCTGGACTTTTAACCATAATTTTGATTTTGGGTCTGCAAAAATCATCCAAAAGGCTTCTTCCATAGGCGAATTGGATTTCTTGAGGCTTTTCACATTCACAAAGATTTAGAAAGTTTAGTTAATGATTTGAAGTCCAATCCAGTCCTTCCTAATGCCTTTAAAATTTACTGTCTTAATTCAATTATTTTGCCGATAGATGGCGTTACCTCCTCGCACTTGGTATACCAGAGGGTATAAAAATCCGTTCAGTGGTTGCTTTCCATATTTGAAGTTCAGATTTTGAGCGTAATGTGCATTTGCCCCTCGCTCCCTATTTTAACTTCGCTAATATTTCTTTATGCTTGATCAGACAGCCTGGCTCAGTAAAAGTAGGCGGCCAGTGCAACTCTGATTAAAAATCTAGTATAACGACGTGCAGTGCTGATAAGCACCACGTGTTTCTGTGATTCCTATTTCTTTTCTTCTTTCTATGTATTTCTTTCTTTCTCCTGATGAGGAGGGACCTTTAGCTGCCTCGAAATCGATTGAGTGTTTTATTATAGACTACGCTAAAATATAAGGTTGTTTTTTTTCACGGTTTTGATTGCACACATAGTGTGTGTTCTCTTCTATCTAAAGCATTGTTATTTATATTATTGTAATTTTTCTGTTTGTTTTGGATGATTAAACTTATTCTGGTTTGGCAATACCAATTTTTTATTTCTTAATGCTTCTTTTATGAATTGCAAACAAAATTAGGTGTGCAATACTTTTTTACCCACGTATAAAAAATAAAGTGGGTAAAAGCGCATGCTGGACAAGCCCAAAATGAAGGGCAGAGATGCGCTTGCTAAAAATGCAGCTCAAGACCCATCTCTATCTCCAATCATGTCCCATTCCCTAAATCGTATGTGAAACATATGTTGAAAAAATACATTAAAAAAATGGCAAACTGAATGGGGAAAATGCAGAAGTAGGTAGAAGGCTTTTCAACTTCTACAAGAAACCCACATATGATCCAATCTCTTATAACTTCTTCATCAACATATTCTTATCTGGACATGGTCCTTTCCCACGTACTACTTTGCACAAATTTGAGCGATTCAGACAAGTGCGTATGTGGGGAAAAAGGGAGGAACCAGAACACTATGTTTTCAAGTGCCAGCTCACAAAAGAGCTACACTGGCAAAGGAAGGTCACAAATTACGCCTGAGTACATTAAATGCATGCTAACGATACATTAATTACAACAAAAGGTTCCTTGATTATGAAGAAACTTTTTGCATATAAAAGAGAAGATATGTCAAGATGCTATCACATCTGTATAAATACCCTCTTATTCTACAACTTGCAAAAATAATGCAAGATTTCAGAAATATTGCAAGTGTCTGAAACAGGCTAATATGGTATAAATAGTTTTTATAAAATAGTTACATTAAGAATTTGGACTGTATTAATGTAATAATTAAATCATTAATTAAAAAAATAATATAAATAATATACGACTCTATTAGATATATTAGTGTAAATGTAAGTATTATGTGATTTCTAATGTATATTTTCTGTATTTATGATACATTAATTTACAAAAATAATAATGTAAGATTTCAGTGCTGATGCATTTGTGTGTAACAAGTTAAAAAAAATGAAAGGAAATGTATTAATAAGAGAATTCGCCTTAGTAATTCAACTAAGTATGATGAAGGCACAAAAAAAAAAAAAAAAAAAAAAAAAAAAGAAATCCTTCAATTAGCTTCTTAAAATGATGTTTATTTTAATTCGATGTAACGAGATATATATCTAAATATATTGTTTGTATGAAGTACAATGTACAATGAAAGTTTGTATGTATGTTCGAAGTAATTATGTTATTTCAATCTGCCATAATCCCAACTTTTGTTAATAGGTTAATTTCTTTGCAATAATTGTATACTATGTCTTTGTAATTGTATATTCAATACGTAAGTCTAATATTAATGTAAAATTACTATGTAAATGTCTTGGTAGGCTAGCATCCGATGCGGGCCAACTAAAAGCCCAGCGGGGTACAGTAGTGCGGCGGAGCAACACCTGTAAAAGTCACTGACGAAGTTCTGGTGCTCTGTCCACTTTTCCCTGTCCCTGCTTTCGTTGTGCCAACGATGCTGGCGCTTGCTTTCTCTGAAACAGAGAATTATACATTGTCTTAAAATGCGCTAAGCTTATGAAATTATGCACCCACTATGATGTATGAATCATATTAACGTCTCAGGATTGCTTTAACAAGAAATAAAAATTGTGTTCGAATTTTCGACCACGTCTCTCTTCTATTGACTTCTGCCATCGTGACCATAATCAACACAGAAAATTTGGCAATTTCTGGATTTGATGTTTCACAGAAGTTACCTGACACCACTCCACACCGGTCACCATCACTGTACTTATCAACGCATATTTAATTAAGACGTGAATCGATTGTTTTTGGATATGCTCCTTCAAACTGAAGGATATATTTTTCAAGTAATTTTTCGAGACAATTTTGTTTTCAGGTTGCAAGAATCTAAGATAAATTTCTCCACTAGATTTAATGTGAGTCACATAAGCACACAAAGAAACACCATGCTTGGATAGTTTGCAAATTAAAGAATATATTACAGATTTCTTAATAACATCATTTAAATTTATATCGTCGCCTCCAGAAGTGTCATAAAAGACAAATGGGTAAATTATAGGGTGTGAATCCGTTTATTATCAGGAAAACAATCTACTGCTCCAAAACTTTTTTTGACTTTTTTTTTCTTTGACATTTTTTTTGTGAGCAACGCCATACGAAATAAAAATGCTAGTCTTTGAAAAAATTTTAAAATCTGTGTTCTGTGCTGTGTAAAACAAGTGTTTTGGTAAGTTAGAAAATAGAATGAATATTACCTTCGATTTTGGTACCACGTCTTGACTTGAGTATCTGTTAAGTTCAGTTTGGCTGCCAATTCCATTCTATCTTGAACACTCAAATATTTCTGTCTCTCGAAGCTTTTCTCTAGTGTCTGAAAAGTATGAGACATTCTTATATAGAAAGCATGAAACAAACATGAATTCATGCATAAGGATTTTTGCCAATTATTCGTGTGATAGTTGAATCATGCACACATAGTGAAGGAAGAATAAAAATATCTGATGTGGATACAATGTGACTTCCTTGTACAGCCTATTAAATTGCACACATTTTTTGCTGCACTCCATTTAAACTTATTTCCCCGAATTTCATTAGAGATATATTTCTCATTTAATCAATTCAGTTTCCACTTCGCGGCAAGGCAAAAATACATAAAACATTTTCATTAAAAACAGTAAAACAGAAAAAAAAGAAGCCCGAATCACCAAATACAAGTATTTAAAAACATTAATTTTTTTTTCTTACAAATAAAGGCAGTTCCTATGACAACACAAGCAGTTCGACCTCGGTCCCACTTAGTGCCACTTAAAACTTTTAAATTGTTGATAATTCTACAATTACTGCTTGCAAATTAACTAAATGCATAAAAGCCATAAGAATAATATAACATAAGAATAATATAATTAAATAACTTTAAAAGAAAAAAAAATGCACAATATACATCGGAAAAAAAGAGCTCACCATACCGGGTAAGAGGGTGGGTATTTATATATGTTTCGGTGTTTCCGATTCCAACAAAAAAAAAAAAAAAAAAAAAAAAAAAAAAAATTTGATGTGTACACCACATATCTTCCTTGTACGGAATATTAAATTATACGCATTTTTTCTTGCATTTCATTTAAACTTATTGGATTAAATTAAATCTACTTCGTCGAATAGCGCATAAACCACAATAGAATAAATGCACTCTTTAAAATTTACTATATTTGTTTACCACAGCTACACTCTGGCGCTAGGTTCACTTAAAAGCGTTATATTTCGTCCATATTATAACTCAGAATGCACAAAATTTACATCTTTTGAAGAATTATCTAATCGTTGCCACATGTTCTATTCAAATATTATAATAAATCTAGAAGCGATGTATTAAAAGAAATTAAGCAAATAACAACAACAAAAAAGAAACAGTTTTTCACAGACGATTAAGTATTTTCTCATTTAGTTAATTCAGTTCTCACTTCCCGGGACAAGGCAAAAATACATAAAAATTTCAAAATATGAATATTAATAAATTACGAAGTATATCTTAAAAACTTATTTCCTCGAATAAATTCCGGAATGGATTAAGCATGATTTAATTCGCAATAATAAAAGAAGGCGTTATCTTTGTTATTGCGAAGCTTACTTTTCTAGATTGGCAGACAAATCTAACTATTCTGTTGTTTCAAATGTAAACAAACAGTGGCCGACATGGCAAAAATTATTAGACTTAGCGGCACTTAAATAACTTTTAAATTGTTCATAGTTCTAAAAATATTGCATACAGATTTACTAAAGGCATTAAACCTTAACAGGAAGATAAGAATAACATTATTCAATCATTTTTAAAGCAAAAAATGCACAATTTACAAACATATAAGAATAAAGAAACTGAGTTCACTGAGCCGAGTAACAGAGTGGATATATATATACATATATTTATATACATTTTACGATTATATTTATATACATTTTACGATTATATTTATATACATTTTACGATTATATTTATATACTTTATACGATTGCAACCAAAATACGAGGTGCACATTTACATGTTATAGCAGCCCTATATACAAAATTTCAACGTTCTGAGGCTACTCGTTTTTGGGTTATGCGAGATACGTACGTACATACAGACACCACGAAAAATTCTCTTCAGAATTCATTTTAAAGCAGTTTATAATTTTTTTGAAGGAAAAGAGGCTTTTATTCTGTCCTTGTGTACAGATGTCACCCAAAAGCATCATTGAAATGAATTTGAAAGCAGTCAAAATAAGATCATATTTTTAATTAAGACCGTTGAATACTGGTCATTCGACCCAGGCTGGAACTCGGGCAAAAGCACCGGTTGCATGGATGTCCTTTGTAGTTTTCCTCGTATATAACGGGAACACGAGGCAAGTCCTTAAGGTGGAATCCTTTCCCTTAGTACAATAAAGCCTTCGTGTGCTTTGCAGTATCCAAATACCTCTCTCATTTTGAAAGGTGGAGTCTATATTATATAACAGTTAATTTTGTCTACACTCACAAATATATCAATACTGTATTTTCAAGGCATTAAAACTGTTAAACAATATTCGTATTTACGTAATTCATTTAAACGTTTATCCGCTTAATTGGGCATCCCTCAAGATTTTAATAAAATTAGCAATAAATAAAACTTAGATGCCAAGATAAAGAAAGATTTCTTTCTGTGATGAAGGTCATTAACACGATAGCCATTTAAATTGGTGGGAAAAAAAATCTAGACAAATGTGTTTTTATGAACCGTTCATGTACTAACACTTTGACATTTGCTAGACAAACAAGACTGGAATCAATACAACGTTTCCAAAATTGAGTTGCCAATGTTACTTGTATGCCCTCCCTTTTTGATTCATTTCTACTAATCTCCGAATTAAAGAATAAACTGCTGCGTATGAGGAAGATCGTCGGCCAAAAAAGTAAATGAAGTTTTTGGCGATAAATCATTTATTGTCACAGCACTAAATGTGCTTTTTTTCTTTCGCTTAAGAACCATTCAGAGCGATTTACAGGAGATCTCAGAAGCATTGCGTGCGTAAATGATTGAATAGCGATTGGGGGTAGTTAAGTCTTGCAGCTTTCTTTTTCTTCTCTGAACGAATTTTAATTACGGTCGATTTCACCTCGAGCTCTATGTGAAAGGCAGTGCAAAGTCCTGCGGTTATTACTTTATTATCAACATGAATTAAACCGCGCCAATGACAGCGGGCTCGCATTCAAAAGCTGAGTAACTGCTATGCGCACTATCTTTTCAAAAGTCGCATATGGCAGGCCAAACTTAACAATCTTCTTTTTCGGCCTTTTGTGAAAGAAACATCTTTTATTGCGCAGAAATTTTTAAAAATAATGTTGGGTCTTGCTTAGGAGTAGCTGTAATTTAGGTTACGGCCGAAATAATTGAGTAAAAAGAAACAAACTGCCCGAGTAAATGTGATCAAATAAATAAAATTGGTTAGTTTTCAATTAAAAACAAACAATAAAGACTGTCTATTATTTGGCGGAAAGGAAAAAGATTTTCAGCCCGGCAATTTCAATTCAACATTTAAAAACTTGAGTAGCTGTAAATTGCGACCAACATTCTGAACTTTGTAACTTTGAGAAGCGACCGATTTATCTTCTTCAGATGCAAATTTTCCCGAAGAATAATTTCTGAAAATTTATCAGAATTTGTTCATTTTAGCTGAAGATTTTAATTCAAACGTGTCCTGTAAATGTAACTACAAAATCTATAGCTTTTTGAAGAGTTTTCAACCAAGGAGTTTTTCCAACTGCAGAAAAGAATAAACCATTGTTTAACGAATGAACAGCATAATATTAATAATTAAACTGTTTATTGGTAACTAAATTGAAACCGAGTTGTGAACTGGAAGCAATTAAAAATTAAAAGAATTGTGGAAAAACATTTTTTATTAATATTTCTCTGTATTATCAGGAAATAAAATTATTAATTACATATTTCTTATTAAATTTGTTTTGCAAAGTATTCAAAACTCAAAAGTTGAGCGACTTCTTAGTTCATAATCAAGCGGGAGGAGGAGTGACTTTCTTATGTATTGTTTAGATTTGCAAATCCGCCTTTTATTCTAATTTCTTCTTTGTACCTATCGTCAACCTACTATATACACAGATAAGATAAGTAATGCTTTCGGCCCAAAAATTCGATAGTGAGTTTTCAGTGAATAAGTACAAATTAGGATTTTCACAACATGTTTTGACTATTCTTACAATGATGTCTGCCAGTTTTTCTATCTGTGGCGCTTTCTGGTCTACGATAGCTTTAATATGAAACTTCTGAAAACGTCTGTTTTCCATTTTAAAGTCTTCTGCATTTATATGAATAATTCATTAAAATTTGAGTAAAACTGGACAACCGGAAGGCGTATATTACATGAATTGAACCCATAACAGATTTTAATGAAAGATTTAATATAATAGATTATATTAAAAAATAAATTAAATCTTTTTAATTTTAGTCTTTAAGACTTTTTAATCAATGGAAAAAGCCTATATTAGATTTTCGCTGAAATTGATAAACAGGTTAGGTTTAGGTTAGGTTATTTAATTACGGCAAAGCCTCGAGGGCTATCTGCTTAAGGGGAGGGATGCCTTTCGTGGAGGACTTTATAAGGGAAACTGGCTCGTATACACGTTACGCATGCGGAAAACCACGAAAACACCCATGCAGCCAGCCCGTTCGCGGGATTCGAACCTCGGACCGAACTACCAGTGTTCAGCGACTTTACCGCTCGGCCGCTGGTGGGCTGATAAACAGGAATATCGGAAACTCTGAACAGGCTTCCGTAAAAAATTACATTATTATAGGATAATACAAAATTTCTCAAATTTGGTGTTTAAAATAGGTATGTGATTGAGAGACATATTACATTTACATAACAACATATTACGTTTATAAGTATTAAATGTATTCTTGGAATTATGACAAATGCAACGAGAACGAGCTGATTAATGAGGCGAGCTCTCGTTATGAAGCGATTAAATATAAATGTTACTCCTCAGTTTTGTATTCCTTTCATTTTTGTGCCGAATCCCTTTTCAAATAATAATAAAAAAAAAAAAAAAAAAAAAAAAAAAATCTGCCATCAAATGTTATCGCTATGTATTATTTTTAAATAAGCAATATAGCAAATAAAAATGATATAGCGAAAAAATGTAGGGCAACAATAACCGCTCTATAAGCAATTTTAAAGATATGTCGATTTGAAAGATTTTATGATTTTATTCTTGGATTTTGTGAAGTAGAAGTGCGAAGAAAGGCATAATCAATAAATAAGTCTAAAATGACCAATATAAAAATTGCTGTCTTAATTAGGAAGACTGAATACTGATATCCAAAACTGAGAAAAGATTGAAAAAGAAATATGTGACAGCACCATATCGGAATTCTAAAGATATGCTGCTTTCAAAAATTGTGCGATTGTTAAGCCATTGATTTATGAATCCGAAAAGCTATATGACCGGAAAACTTATTTCAATCGATGCGATATTTTGAAAACAAAGCATGAGAACGGATGTGTACACGTACGCATGAGAACGTATAGGTATTTTTCATTGTATAGGAGAACAGAATAATAACAAAAGTGTAGTGTTTATAATTAACATCGAGGCATAAAGTTTACAAACCAGTTAGATTTTTACCAAACGATCATATAAAAGTGATAGTTTACTTAAAGCTCGTTGCCATTCCGCTAAAGTTTTAACATCCCAATGGCAGAAGGTCATGTGTTGTGCTCCTTAATTTTTTATATATTTTTTTAATATTACTCGTATTAAGCACGGAAACTGAATACTGATAGTTATTCTTAAAACTCTCAAATAATTTTTTTCGATCTCAGTTTACATTTATATATGCATATATATGATTAATATAGTTCTTCCTTAGTTTCAACCGTAAGAGTTAGGTTATTCGAATACGGCAAAGCACGTGAGGGCTATCTGCAGGAGGGATGCTTTCGTGGAGAACTTCCTAAAAATAAACGGCTCGTATCCACGTTACACACGTGAAAACCACAGAAACCAGCTACGCAACCAACCTGTTAGCCTACAGTCGAACTACCAGCATACAGCGGTCTTAACTACTCAGCCACTTGTAGGAAAGCAGCCATAAACTCGCGTTTCTCGCTCAGTATTCCTAGTTCTACTTCTTTTAATATCTGCTATTCAATGAAATAAACTTCCAGCTTTGTTATTTGATGTCCATATTTATAAACTCGAAAAAATATCAGGTTATGCAGGTATATCAGAACATGCATATTGCTGCGAAGTGTGAAATTCCATTAAGATTTTGAAAAAAAAAAAAAAAAAAAAAAAAAAAAGGGGGGGATGTATTGCAGCATAAACTGCAAACTTACTCTGAGTTGATGGTCCGTGAAAGCCGTCCGTGCTTTCCTGGGTTTTTTGTTTTTCAAGGATGGACTGTCTTCTCTTTGCGGTCTACCGTCATACCTCTCACTGCCTGAAAATAGAAATTAGATTACACTTCAGGAACACGAATTACGCTTTAACTGTTGGTACTATTATCAAGAATTCCACTGTAATAGGAATTCTGAGGAATACTTTGGAATAATGCATAGTTTAAACTTCAGAAATAAATTAAAAGTCATAAACATATGAGTAAAAATGATTCTTTTCATTTCGTACTGCATTCAGTTAAGGCAAGAAACGAAAAAATGACCATAAAAAACTTGAGAATTGAATCTTAGTACACTATTTTTCGTAGAAAATTAAAAACTATTACTTATTTTGTATTAAAAATTAAATTATAAATTTTTCGATAGGATATATTTCATATATACACACAACACATATATGCGCAGGGTAGTGAGGTAATGAAAGAAAGCCCTTAGTTATCGATTGATAACAAAGAGCTCTGTTTCATTAACAACTGAGGGGCCCACCAGCGGCCGAGCGGTAAAGTCGCTGAACACTGGTAGTTCGGTCCGAGGTTCGAATCCCGCGAACGGGCCGGCTGCATGGGCGTTTTCGTGGTTTTCCCCATGTGTAACGTGTATACGAGCCAGTTTCCCTTAGAAAGTCCTCCACGAAGGCATCCCTCCCCTTAGGCAGATAGCCCTCGAGGCTTTGCCATAATCACACACACACATTAACAACTGAATTTGTGCATTAATGCAACTTATAGTATTCCTTGAGAAAAGGTGCACAGGTTTACAGAAACAGTTTGAACCCTGTAGTTGGGAAGATTTTCTAAATATGAGCTATAACTTTACATATATCCCTCTGAAGCAAAAAACCACTTAGTACATTTATTTATTGCCACTTAGTACACTCAGTTAAAAAGAAACATTTTTTTATACTTTTAAGGTACACAGATTCGCACAGAATACGTATCTGTAATACTTACATTTAGAAAGCGCGCTACAAATTGTATAACAATTGGTTTTACCGAGACGAAACTGCTTTTAAAGTCATAGTAGTAAGAGGTCTTCCCTTTAACCTGCACACTTTAAACTTGAGCCAAAACTGGTATTGGGAAGTGTCGAAAATAGATTCCCACTCTAATATCTAAACTTTTATATTTAAGGTGTTGGTGTTGGTGTATTTAATTATGGCAAAGCACGCTAGGGCTATCTGTCTAAAGGGAGCGATGCCTTCGTGGAGGACTTTCTAAGGGAAACTGGCTCGTATACACGTTACACATGGGGAAAACCACGAAAACGCCCATGCAGCCAGCCCGTTCGCTTGATTCGAACCTCGGGCCGAACTACCAGTGTTCAGCGACTTTACCGCTCGGCCGCTGGTGGGCTCTTTTATATTTAAGAGATCTTCAAAATTAATATCTATAGTTTTGATTCTTTAATATATAAGCGAAACTTGAATTTTAAAACGCTGAAACTTTCGCTCATAAGTTCGTAAACGCACAACGAACTGTAAGTTACATATTAATTATTTTACATATTTAAACTTTTCCTGTAAGTAGTATATACTGAAAAGTATATTTTAATTTTACTGATCGCTTCCCCTTAAAACGTTGAAACGACCGTTTTCATAAAATTTATTTGGCTTATTTTGAGAAATTTTGTAATTATAAATATGTTTAAGATCAATATTTAAGGAATTACAGGGTGTAAACATGCTTTTAAGCACCTTAAATTTTCAAATATAGTATAAGATCTCTCTCTAGTGTTTGTCATGTGTGTGTCTCACATATGCGTGTGTCATTTGTGCATATATGTGTGATGTGTGCTGTACATAAAAGGTGGTTTTTAACACATGGAACTATTTGTTTTGTTCATAAAAAAAATTAAAATATGCAGTATTACTTTTTGTATCGGTATTTTTATCAGGAAGGAGGCCGGGAAAGAAATCTGAATGATAATCAGATTTCTTTTCCCGGCCAATAATTTGGTTAGGTTTCTGTTTGTTTGCAGCAGCAACAACAGATTGCCTTGTCGTACAATACTGTTAGAAAAATCTACCGCAGTGATCTGTTGGCATATTCATTCAGAATACAGGTCACTCATTCCCTGTAACCGGATGAGGAAACTCAAACGGCTTGAGCTTCCAGTTGCTTTCAGTCAACTTCTTAAAAACGACGGTGATATATTTCGGCAACCTATAGCTTCTACCGAGGCTCATTTCTATTTAAACGATTATTTTGATAAATAGAACTCACGATTTTGGAAATGCGAAATTCACATAATAAACCTTTACATTCGGAACGTGTTACCGTGTGGTGTGCAGTATTTTCTGATGACATTTAGGTCCAGTTTTCATTGATGGAAACATCACGAGTGAAGTGTAACTCAGAGTTCTCGGCAAAGAATTTGCTCCGTTTTTGTTTGGCATGTTTGACTATATTTCCACTTGCTGGTTTAGCAACATGGGGCAAGACCTCAGTCCCCTTGCTGGTTCAGCAACATGGCTCAGATAGAATAATATTCGATTACTTTCATGAGATGTTTGATAAACGTGTGTTGTTTAACCTGTGAGACATTAGGTATTTTTTGGAGGCAGGAGAAGTGAAAAATGAGCAACGCCTTCGCCGAGATTCGAGCCACGGAGCTCTGGAATACGCGCCCAGCGTGCAGACCACTACACCACGAAGGTACGCTAAGAAGGCGGGAGAAATATCTTATAAACCGTTACCTTTAATTTCACTGTAAAGAGTTCTAACGGCCGTTAATGTCACTAGATATGAGTCTATATGATTTAGCTTTGGAGGCTACTTGAGAGACAGTGTTTAAGACTAACCCTGCAATAATTCGCGAATTGAAATGAACGATATAAGACAGAAATTTTCGACATTTCTGCCGACACATTATTCACAGTGACGCAAAATTAGGTTCTCAAGGTGCGTCATATCTATCCAAGCAAGGTTCAATGGCCTTCATACATTGAACATTTGTGCTTTAAACTTTAAGTCTTATTTCCCAGTAGTAGGAGCGTCTTGTGACAAGTGGTTTATAAATTGTGGAAAATTCCATTTGTTCCATGTATTAAAAATCACCTGGTATACATATATATATATATATACACCAGAAAACTACTGACTTGAATTTAGCTACAGTCCTCTTAATTCCTCATTTTAATTTAGTTATGTCCTCTTTCTGAAATCTAAAGTGCGTCACATCTGAAAATTAGCGTCTATTATGTGTCTGATCCTACAGTGCGGGATTAGTAGGATTTCAATTCGCAGTTTGACCGTTATATCACATACTATGTATCAGCTTCTCCCACTACAAAAAAATTCTTGGAAATTTTTTAACAAAACTGTTACATCGCACGAAGAGATGGGAAACCGTCTGACCAGTGCCTGCAGCTTATACATAATTCATTCTTCAATAAACAGCGAATGAAAGCGACCTGCCGGCAGCGTCAGGAAATTTATACGTAATTATCGCCACACGATCCATTGTCCGTGCATCTCGTTAGCGATAAAAGATCACGATTCTGCAATACATTAGTCGTAGTTACGGTTATAGCTTACTCGATGTCCATTCAGTGGGCGGCTGCAGCATCGAATAAATGCGCATTCAGTATTTTTTTTCTTCGAAAAGATTGAGCAGGCTGTTGTTGTCATTCAAATGAGCCGACTCAATGGAAAGTGCTCAGGTTTGTTAATAGATGGCGCTAGTGCACTTTAAATCTGTTTTGAAAGACCGGAAACGTGTTATTGGATTCGTTTTGGTTTTGGTTTCATTATCCTTTTATTTTAAAGAAAGATATTTAGAATCAGTTTGAGTAAGGTAATCGTAACACGCTCTGAGCAGCAAAAATTTGTCAGGCATATTTTCAAAAAATATTAGGACCTAAAATCGGCCTGGAGTTACACGTAATTACTGCAGTTTTGTGTAATATAATTTTAAAAATAATAAATTAAAAAAAAAAAAATATGAACTCTTTCAGATTTTGTATTACGCCCAAAGAGGCTCTTTTTTTTTTTTTTTTTTTTTTTTTAAAGTTCTGTCTGTTACATTTATTGATTAAATATCATGTTCTCCGAACTTAAACCATAAAATTCATTTCACCACCAATATCACAAAATGACACGACATTTTCTCTAAACCGAACCTCGAATTGTTGATTTTCCGGGTCATCTGAGATTGATTACATTTTCTAGTTTCTCTCTTAAGTGCGGCTTCTTTAGACCGATATTCTTCATTGTTCCGATTACGTTTGTTATTTTTTCGTAATTTTTTCAGTCGTTTTATACGAGATGGAAGCTTTTCCTCTTCGGTCAACTTACGTCTCCCAATCTCTTTATTTTCAAAAGTGATTCGCCGTTTATAAAACGAAATTAATAGCTCTTCTGGGGAAATTTTTAAAAGAGCAAATCTTTAGAATTTCCAATACACAGTCTCGCGCGCTAGCGATATTTTTTTCCCGTATAGTGTTGCCATTGCTTGGTTTGAAATTGTTAAATTTTTTTACTAAAACGCTTTACAAAATATGAAATCGATAATGAAAAAAATTCCAAAATCAATCTTCCAGATGCCCATATTCAGGTGGAGACGTACATTATTCAGAATTGGATGACTCTAGGTACCGTTGTTTTATCACAGTGCGAGAAACATACATAAATTTATGCAGATTATTCAGTACTTAATTTCTTTAAATATAACACGGAGCTCTAATATTGGGTGGCAACAATTAAAAAATTATTCGCTGTTTATTGTGAATCGACGCAAAATGCCAAAACGAAATTAATAGTCCTTCTGGTCTAACAAAAGTGTACTGTTTATAATTAACAGTGAGCCATAAATTTTATAAACCAGTTAGATTTTATTTACAAACGATCGGCTAGAAGTGATAGTTTACTTAAAACTTGTTGCTATTGCTCTAATGTTTTAACACGAGATTGGCAGAAAGTCATGTGCTACCCACATCAAACTATTTAATATTATTTTTTAATGTTATTAAGCTTGAAGTCTTATACCATTTTTTTATTATCTTATATTTATTTTTATCTTATTTTTTATTTTTTTATTATTTCAT